AAAGGGATGAGTCGTCGTAGCGTACATGGCGTGCTGGTTTTAGCTGTTAAAATCTGAACTAGTGAAACTAAGGAATGTGGCTCGTTAGAACCTTTTCCACGGAAATAGCTTTATAGTAGCAGGATAGGGGTGTCATGTTGGAAAAGATCCATTAACCACTCGCCTTGTTTTTCACAATCATGTTTTTTTTTTGTTTTGTTTTTAATTCGGGACGCACTTGTAGAATGACTAAAACTCTTGGATGCACTTTAAATTTGAATCAGAAAAGATTACTTATGAAATTTTAAAATAGGAGAATGAAAAAGAAATCTGATATAATAATTTATCAGTTTTTAAAACATGGCATTATGTACTTAGGTATGCTTATGTGAAACATGTGCTTGATATGATTTGGCAATCTTTTGAATGTAAGGCCTTATATTGATTTTCCAAGCGTAGCTTAGATGTGGCACAAAGCCGAAAGTATGAGGAACCCAGTGAGTATCGAACTCACTATTCACTTGTAATTATTCTAGCGAGACAGGCCTGCTAACCATTTCACCGCCTCGGGGTGCCCGAATGTAAGGCCTTATATGTGATAAATGTTAAGCCTTATATGTGATACATAATAGACCTTATATGGGATCAATGTTAGAGCTTATGCGTTATCAAAATTAGGCCTTATATGTAATAGCATTTGGTCCTTAAATGTGATAAATATTAGGCCTTATATGGGATCAATGTTAGAGCTGTGTTATCAAAGTTAGGTCTTATATGTGACAAATGTTAGGCCTTATATGTAATAGCTTTTGGTCCTTAAATGTGATAAATATTAGGCCTTATATGGGATCAATGTTAGAGCTTTTGTGTTATCAAAGTTAGGTCTTATATGTGATAAATGTTAGGCCGTATATGGGATCAATGTTAGCTATGATATGTGATTTATGTTAGGCGTTATGTGATAAATATGTTAGGCCGTATATATGATTAATGTTAGGCCTTATATGTGATAAATGTTAGGCCTTATATAGGATCAATGTTAGCTATGATATGTAATACGTTAGGCCTTATATGTCATAAATATGTTAGGTCTTATATATGATCAATGTTAGGCCTTATATGTGATAACTCTCAGGCCTTATATGTCATAAATAATAGGCCTTATATGTGATAAATGTTAGCCCTTATATGCGATAAATGTGTTAGGACTATATAAGTTTTATCATTATTAAGCCATGCATGTTATAAATATGTCCTTATATGTGATCAATGTTAGGCTGTATACGTAATCAATTAGTTAAGCATTCTATGTGATAGATGTTGGGCTTTATATGTAGTAAATTTTAGGCCTTGTATGTGATAAATATCAGAGCTTCTATATAATGGGTATAGTGTTAGGTTTTCTATAAGATAGGTATATGTTGTTCATTAAGCCTAAAGTTGCCAACAAGGGTAAAAAGTGTTTGTTTCCAAGGTAAGCATTATCACCATCAAAATAAGAGCTTTTGAAGGCACCTTTCATAAATATGAAATTATTGAACTAATCTTACCGACCATTCGATCGTGTAACAAGTTGAATCCTTATTTGATTTCTAGTGGTTTTCCCGTTGTATCAGACAAAACTAAGTTTAGCATATATATTTTATTGCCGGCCGGACAACAGTAGTCAGCAAGTTCTCATATTCTGATAGACTATGACTAATAATTTCAACCCTTGATGACTTTCTGTTAAAAAATAAGCGATCAAAAAAGGCTGGAATAAATGTTGCTTGAAGGCTGAGTAGTGTTCTTGGGACATTCGCCGTAAACATTTTTTTTTTCCACAGGAAAACTCGCCTCGGGAATTTTCGCCTTAGAAATCTTTGCCGTAAAGGATTTTTGCCGTAAGACAATTTCACCGCCTTTTTTTTAATATGCGAAGTACATTGTTATCAAGTATATAATGATTCACACTATTGTTATTTCGATTTAAACATTTTAATAAGCAAAGTTATAGGATTAAAATCCTATATAATTCATCCTCGTCAGTGAGAAGCGCAAAAATTTCAACTTGACACCAGAACCCACGTCACGCAATTCCATATTTCAGACTTAACGTTAAACTTTCTGTTAACATAATATCAGTCTGCCAATAATCTTATTATAAAACGCAGATTGTGTGTGTGTGTGTGTGTGTGTGTGTTTGTGTGTGTGTGTGTGTGTGTGTGTCTGTACGTTTATATATTGGATCGGATTTCCTACATTTTTCAACCGATTTCAACAAAACTTCACAGGACTGCGTAAAATTACCTTGCGGTGGTTCTGACAGCGCCCAAAATTCGAAAACCACAATTGTTTTTGCACGAAATCAATTTGAAAACACGATAAAACACGATTCTGTCGAGTTATACTTATTATAAAACCCAGGTTGTGTGTGTGTGTGTGTGTGTGTGTGTGTGTGTGTTCGTTTATATATGGGATCGGATTTCCTACATTTTTCAACCGATTTCAACAAAACTTCACTTTTTTTGGCAGGTAGTGTTTCTTATTGTCTTGCACACTTTTTTCTTTATTGTTACATTTAGAATGCTTTAAAAATTCCATTTACAAGACAATTGTTTATAATAAAATTCTATTCAATCGGTAGACTCATAACGATTGAAAACAATGTTTTTGTTTGAGTTTGGGTTTGACCAATTCGTAAAAAAAAAAAAAAAAAAACTTAATTAAGACATGCGTGTCCGTCAACCTTAAACAATAATCTTTGTCAATTTTATTTTTCAGTCTTTATGATGGTCGATACTTGATCTATCTCTTACTGTTACATCCCCGGACAACGCCGAGCTCTACTGCTAGTTCTTACTAAACAATATATATTATTTCAAACAATTTTAAAACTTGAATACGCAACCAATTTCAATATAAAATATCTGATCAAAAAAAGATAACCCTTTAAAACTCTCAGTAAATCTTTTGAAATTTACACAAATTATTTGCAAACATAAACTGTTTTGAATTCACTATAAATACTTAAATATTGAAATATACTTTCTTATATTTGAACATACATTATAACAACACACCACTTTTTGATCCAAACTATAATTGACATTCAAAAACACAAAAAAAAACAAATAAATACCAAATTGTTATATAATTAAAATACCCAAATTGAATACCTAATTTGAACTCTCAAAGAAGGGGCAGAATTATTGATATCAATTCAAGACCAGCGAAAAATACTTCGTTACAGTCCAACGCAAAAAACACATTATTTACGAAGCATTGCTTGAAATTTGCACAGATTTTAAATTATTTCTTTGTTAATTTGATATATTTTTAGTCTTTTATTTTTATATAAATGTTTACCATTTACTTTCTTTTCTGATGTTTGACCATGTAAAAAAGACATCCATATATACTTGATAACAACGTACTTCGCATATTAAATTGAACAAAAAGAACGTTGAAGATAAGGGTATCGAAAAAAATATGTGGCGAAATTGTCTTACGGCGAAAATCTTATACGGTGAAGTTTACCACGGCGGAAATTCCTGAGGCGTGTTTTCTTACGGCAAAAATGTTTATAGTGTATGTTCCGGATACGGCTTCGCAAAGCCCGTTGAACGTACCGGTAATAAAGGGATATCTCCTGTGTGTATCATATTGTCTCTCGCTTCATACTCGATTTTTTATCTTTTGGTAAGAGTGGGTAAAGTATTTACGACTTACAGGCATTTCTGTAGCCGCATGGCGTCGTACGTCGATACTCATAGGTGTAGTGACAAGGATGCTTCGCTGTATGCTCCCTCTATATCTACGCATATAATCAAAAGTCCCCTCAATGGCTTAAACACCATGACCTAAATCAGTCGCTCCTCTGTTTTGTCCTCGATTAAATCCCCTGTCGTATTTTTATCACAATCTTTTTGACGCCACTCTGTATTTCACTGAGTTTAATTTGATCTTTCAATAATTATTTGTATAGGAAGGAAGGAAGGAAGGAAGGAGCATAAAGATATTGAAAGAAAGAAATACCAAAGAATAGAGAAGAAGAAAGAATGTAAACAGAGATGCTAAAAGAAAGACAGAAAAAAATAAAGACGATGAAGGTGAAAGAAAGAAACAAAAAAGAAACGAAAAAGGAAGAAGGAAAAAAAAGAAAGAAAGAAACGTCAGGAGGATGAAAGAAAGAAGGAAAGAAATACAAAGAATGCAAATAAAAGAATAAAGGGGAAGGAAGGAAAGAAGGAAGGAACAGCAAGAAATTGAAAGAAAGGAAGAAAGAAGGATGTTAAAAGAAAGGAAAATGAATGACCAAGAAGATGAAAGAAAGAAAGAAAGGAAGAAAAAAGAAATACCAAGAATGTAAAAGAAAGAATAAAGAAGAAGAAAAAGAAAGAAAGAAAAGAATAAAGGAAAGAAAAGAAATCACAACCTATTAAAAGAAAGAAATACCAAGAAATTGAAAGAAAGAAAAAAAAAAACAAGATGTTAAATAAAGAAAGAAAAAAAAGAGAGAAAGAAATTGAAAGAAAGAGAGTAAGAAAGCAAATTTTTAATCAACCGAAATTATAAAATAATTATTTCATATTCGTTCCTTGTTTATAGTTTCGCAGATGGACAACGAGGATCACACATTACAAACTGGATGCAGGAGAAGGTCTGGTAACCTAATGGAGCGCCGGCATAATTGTGCTGACTCATGTTGTTTGCATTTTGTTACGCATACGAAAGTTTCCTTTGATGACCACAAGATAAAATATCTTTCTGACGGCCCCATTTTGTTCACTGGCGCTAGGTTATTTTACAAAAGATTATTTATTTAAGGAATCCCTTCACCTTTTTTTTTTTTATAGCGCTTTCCTGTGTAGCTAATCAGAAGCTAGTTCACAGAACATGAGAGTTTTTTGTAGAAGACAGTCCCCCATTCTCAATCCATAGCTGCTTGACCAGCGCAGATGCGCATTTTGCAATATATCTTCAATATGAAAATAGGAAGGAAATTAGATAAAGCTATTTCGGGAAGTAACGTAAACTAAATGTTAGTATAATAGAAACAACATGAATATAATAAACAATGCGACGGGCGAACATGACCTTGACATAAGCATCGCATGACTAAATTCTGATTATAGCTGAAAGCAGTGCTATAATTATCTTTACCTGTCACTGAATCATTCAATCTCATTCCATCTATCTATCTATCTATCTATCTATCTATCTATCTATCTATCTATCTATCTATCTATCTATCTAGCCCAGTCTGTTCATATTTAAGTCAGTTCTTATCTATCTATCTAATATATATATATATATATCTGCCTCTCCCTGTCTGTTCATATTTAAGTCAGTCATTTCTTATCTATCTATCTATCTATCTATCTATCTATCTATCTATCTATCTATCTATCTATCTCTCCACTCTGTTCATATTTAAGTCAGTTCATGCTTATCTATCTAGCTCTAAGTTTCTGTACCACATCAATATATATATATATATATATATATATATATATATATATATATATATATATATATATATATATATCTGTTCCAGCCTAATGTTTATCTGTCTGCCTCAGTGTATTTTTTATTTATCTCTTTCAGTCTGTTCAAATCTATCTATCTATCTGTTCTTATCACTTCTCTCTGTCTGTCTGTCTGTCTGTCTGTCTGTCTCTCTCGATATATATATATATATATATATATAAATATATATCTATTCCAGCCTATTGTTTATCTGTCTGCCTCAGTGTATTTTTTATTTATCTCTTTCAGTCTGTTCAAATCTATCTATCTGTTCTTATCACTTCTCTATCTCTCTCTGTCTGTCCCCCTCTCTCTCTCCCTCTCTCTCTCTCTCTCTCTCTCTCTCTCTCTCTATATATATATATATATATATATATATATATATAGTATATGAAATAGTTACAAAACACTCGAAAGCCATTAACTTTATATTTTTGGGAAATAAATAATTTTACTTTTTTTTTCTTTTTATAATTCGACATAACAGCGAAGATCCCTATTCCGTTTATTTTCTTTTTCATTTAGAAAATAAAATATTCTTCACTTTTCAATTAATGGAACTAATAGACTTTAAAACCCTTGAGGGACTTCTGTTGCATCTGCATAAATACACAGTGGCGGCAAGCAGAATTTTCCCCGGGTTCCGTCATAGAATAAATATATGTGTAAATAAGCACATAGATAAATGAAAAAAACAAAACAAAAAAAAAAAACAACAAAAAAAAAACAAAAACAAACAAACAGTTTGAACGTATTTCGTCTTCCCAGCATGCTTATATATTTTTGAATGGTATTGCATCTCATTTATAATAACTGTTAATTTCCATATATCGACCTTTTTCCCCTTTTAAATTTTCCTTGAAACTTTTATTGGCAGCTGACTTGAATGTCTAAAAATAATTAAATCGTTTGAGATTTTATTAATTATGCTAAAACTGATTAATCTTTCTTAATAAGGCTAGTTAGTAGCTGTCTGTGTGCATGTTCCTCTGTGCATGTTTGTCAAGATGAGGGCGCGCGCACGTTTTATAAGTGTAGATGTGTTTCCTTGCCTGTATGAGATTTTATATATGCATGCGCCTCTGAAGTAAGCCTCTGCGTGCATGTACGAGTGCACACGGGTTTGCATGCTTCTTTTTCTGTGTACGTGTGTCCGTATGGGTGTCTGTATGGATGGCTCTGTGCAAATGAACATTTGTACCCTTGCCACGCCCATGAATGCAGGTGTGTTTATATTAATTTCTACCAATTATTTGATCTCACCTATTAGGGTCATTTCGTGTTCACAGTTCCAGCTTTTGTTAATAACACAATTTCTTTTCATTTCGTTTTTCGTTTCTTTCTTTTCTATTCATTTTTATGTTCTTTTCTCGTTCTTTTCATTACTTACTTTTTTTTTTCTTCCGCTTTTCCCACATAATTTCTATCTACCCATGTTGAAAACGCTTTTATGACATACTATGGACTTACATTCATTTTCTTTTTATTCTAACTTTAGTTCATTTCCATTTTTCCCTTCTCACATTGTCATTTCTTTTTTTCCTTCCTCTATTTTCGATTTTGTCTCTAAATTGTTTCTTTTTCTTCTTTTCTTTCTTTTTCTTCCTTGGTACATTCTTTCTTTCTTTCTTTCTTTCTTTCTTTCTTTCATATCGTTTGTTCTTTCTTTTACTTTCTCGGCATTTATTTTTCTTTCTTTCTTCTTAGCGGTTCTTTCTTTTCTTTGATATACTCTTTGTTTCTTTATTCTTTTTGTCTTTCTGCTTCTCAGCGTTTCTTTCTTTCTTTCATCTCATTTGTACTTTTTTTTATTTTGGTATCTATTTTTCTTTGTTTCTTTCTTCTTCTTAGCGTTTCTTTCTTTCCTTTGGTACCCTCTTTGTTTCTTCAATTTTTTTGTCTTTCTGTTACTTAGCGTTTCTTTTTTAATTTCATCTTTCATTCTTTCTTTCTTTCTTTCTTTCTTTCTTTCTTTCTTTCTTTCTTCTCCTTTGTTTTTGTTTTTACGCTCTTGGCATTTATTTTTCTTTCTTTCTTCTTAGCGTTTCTTTCTTTCTTTTCCTTGGTGCAGTCTTTGTTCTTTTTTCTTTCAGTCTTTCTGCTTCTAGTGTTTCTTTCTTTCTTTCGTTCTTTCTTTCTTTCTTTCTTTCTTTCTTTCTTTCTTTCTTTCTCTCATCTCGTTTGTTTTTTCTTTTACTTTGTTAGCATCTATTTTTCTTTCTTTCTTTCTTCGTAGCGTTTCCTTCTTTCTTTTCCTTGGTACACTCTTTGTTTCTTTATTATTTCTATCTTTCTGTTACTTAGAGTTTCTTTCTTTCTTTCTTTCTTTCTTTCTTTCTTTCTTTCTTTCTTTCTTTCATCTCGTTTGTTCTGTCGATTTCGTTCTTGGCATTCATTTTTCGTTCTCTCTTTTCCTAGCGTTTCTTTCTTTCTTTCCTTGGTACACTCTTTGTTTCTTTATTATTTCTATCTTTCTGTTACTTAGAGTTTCTTTCTTTCTTTCTTTCTTTCTTTCTTTCTTTCATCTCGTTTGTTCTGTCGATTTCGTTCTTGGCATTCATTTTTCGTTCTCTCTTTTCCTAGCGTTTCTTTCTTTCTTTCCTTGGTACACTCTTTGTTTCTTTATTATTTCTATCTTTCTGTTACTTAGAGTTTCTTTCTTTCTTTCTTTCTTTCTTTCTTTCTTTCTTTCATCTCGTTTGTTCTGTCGATTTCGTTCTTGGCATTCATTTTTCGTTCTCTCTTTTCCTAGCGTTTCTTTCTTTCTTTCCTTGGTACACTCTTTGTTTCTTTATTATTTCTATCTTTCTGTTACTTAGAGTTTCTTTCTTTCTTTCTTTCTTTCTTTCTTTCTTTTCTTTCTTTCATCTCGTTTGTTCTGTCGATTTCGTTCTTGGCATTCATTTTTCGTTCTCTCTTTTCCTAGCGTTTCTTTCTTTCTTTCCTTGGTACACTCTTTGTTTCTTTATTCTTTCTTTCTGACTTTCTTACTCTTTCTCTCCCCCCCCCCTCTCTCTCTCTCTCTCTCAATTTCTTGGTGTTTTTGATGTTGTCCTTCTTTCATTCCTTTCTCGATTACTTTTTATTTTACATTTTCAATATTTCTATCATTTTTTTTCATCTTCTTGTTCATTCGTTTTTCTTTTTTAACATGCTTCTTCCTCCCTTTCTTTCAATTTCTTGACATTCCTTCCTTCATTCTTTCTTCCTTCCTTCCTCTTTATTCTTTTATTTTCATTCCCGATGTTTCTTTCTTTCTTTCTTTCATTTTCTTGGTACACTCTTGTTTCTTTATATTTTCTCTTTTTTTCTTTTTTCTTTCTTCTTCGACTTTCTTTTTTCTTTCCTTCTTTCTTCCTTTCAATTTCTTGGTGTTCCTTAGTTTTTCTTCCTTTCAGTATTTTGGTGTTTCTTCCTTCCTTCCTTCCTTCCTCCCTTTCTTCGCGTTTCTTCTTCTTCTTTTTCTTCTTCTTCTTTTTCTTCTTCTTCTTCATTTTCTTTCTTTCTTTCTTTCTTATTTACGTTTCTTTCTTCGTTTTCCTTTGTACACTCTTTGTTTCTTTGTTTTTTTCTTTCCTACTTCCAGTTTCTTGGCGTT